TCATTTTCCCAAACACTGTAATCTGAAGTGGCATTTTCTGTTCCTTTTTAATCAAATGGATTGTTTCCCTCCTTAGAATGGTACTGAGCCTTTTAACACTGCTGCCGAGCCAAGACACTGCTAATAAATATTTAAAGTCTCAGAGCTTTAAGTGAAAGGAAGGATTTGTTGGATAATATTTCATTTCCCCTAAACTGTTTATTCACCATTAAAACTGAAAATTTTAATTTTATGGGGATTGCTCAGAGAGCTGATGTTCAGACATCTCCACAAAAAACCCAAGTCAGGAAGGCAGTCTATAAATAACCACCTTGGAAATAAACTTCTGGGATTTGGACACGACCCAGATGAGATTTTCAAGTGTGCTGTAAATTACCCCCAGCCAGGGCACAGGTCAGAAGTGTTTACTGGCACTGAGCTTCATTGCTCACATCACCTGGCAGCAGTGGTGCACACCTGGAGCAGAGAGCCCTGAGGGTCAGGTTTGCTCACCTCATCCCGGGGGGGGGGGTATATTTATTTTATTTTATTTTATTTTATTTTATTTTATTTTATTTTATATTTTATTTTATTTTATTTTATTTATCAAGCAGAGAACAAGCTCTGAGTGCCCCTGCCTCAAGTACCTGTGACTCAGGGAGCTCGTTGGGGGTGTCACTCAGGGATGCCCAGCTTAGGACCGTCCCTCTCTCTTCCCTGCACATCCTCCCCTTGGGTTTTAGTGCTGGTACCACAGACAGGTCTGTTCCTAAAGTCAAGAAGGCAAACTCTAAAGAGCAGGAAGAAAGGGAGGTGGCAAAAGTGAACAGGACACAAGGATGCCCTGAGACAAGGAGAGGATAAAAACCACAGGTGAAATGTGATTAAGGCAATGAAAAGGAACAAGGGAATAGCCACAGATGTTGCCTTAGAAAGTGGGCAGAAGAAGGGCACTGAATGCAGAACAAGGGCACTGAATGCAGAACAAGAGCACTGAATGCAGAACAAGGGCACTGAATGCTGTTACCTGAGCTCTGCCTGTGCTGGCTCCCACTCATTTCACCCGAGTTTGAGCTACCCCAGAATAAAGTTTGATGTAATGGCACCTGTGAATCGAGGCTGCTTTTCCAGTTGCCAGAAAAGGAGAGGAAGAGAGAGACACCTCCCTCCTCCGAGAGGCACCAGACAAGGCCCATGGGTGCTCCCTGCCACAGGAGAGGGGATCAGGCCCGGCTGGACCAGCCTGGGCAGGACAAGCTCGGTGTCACAGGGCCTGGCCTGGCAGGGCTGCGTCCTCTCGTGCCAAGGCACAGCAGCAAGGCAGATTCTCAGTTATATTTAATTTAGCTCCTGCTCTGCACACTGAGTTGGAGCCTGCTGATCTTCCTGACCTGTCCAAACCTGCAGCAGCTGAGCTCCCTTTCGTTGCTTTATCAGCTTTGAGGTGGAGATGGGCAATTCTAAATTTGGAGAGGCTTCAGCAGCACGCTGTGGCTGCCCGTGCTTGCACTCGGCTCTCTGAAAAGATGATGACCAAACCAAATCCAGATTTCCCTTTAATCTGGCCTATTTTGAATCAAACTGCAAGGAGAGATACTAAAGCTGCTACTGGGAAACGTGCTGCTCCATGAATTAGTAATTGTGTTTGTCTTCTGCATTGGGGATTTTTTGCCTGTGTTGCTGTTTTCTTACTGCCACTCAACGTGAGGAGCTTTTATTTGAATGAGACCATTTCAAAGCACTTTTACACCCATGTGGAGTCAGGCACTTGTTTACTTTCTGACAGTTACTTACTTCCTGTAAATATTTCACAGCCACAGGACCTCCCAGATGAAAGCAGAGTTTGCTCTGTGCTCCTGTTCAGGAGTCTAATTAAAACCAGAATAAAATGGGAGGCATGGAGCTAAGTGCTAACTGCAATGGATGGATCTAGAGGGAATTCAGCAAGGGAGCCTCTTCTTGGCACAATTATTGAGGCAGAAAAGCAGAGAAAAAGTGCCCAACTCACAAGGGAGAGGAGAGGAGAGGAGAGGAGAGGAGAGGAGAGGAGAGGAGAGGAGAGGAGAGGAGAGGAGAGGAGAGGAGAGGAGAGGAGAGGAGAGGAGAGGGGAGGGGAGGAGAGGAGAGGAGAGGGGAGGAGAGGGGAGGAGAGGAGAGGAGAGGAGAGGAGAGGAGAGGAGAGGAGAGGGGAGGGGAGGAGAGGAGAGGAGAGGGGAGGAGAGGGGAGGAGAGGGGAGGAGAGGAGAGGGGAGGGGAGGAGAGGAGAGGAGAGGAGAGGGGAGGAGAGGGGAGGAGAGGAGAGGGGAGGAGAGGAGAGGGGAGGAGAGGAGAGGAGAGGAGAGGGGAGGAGAGGAGAGGAGAGGAGAGGAGAGGGGAGGGGAGGAGAGGAGAGGAGAGGAGAGGGGAGGAGAGGGGAGGAGAGGAGAGGAGAGGAGAGGGGAGGAGAGGAGAGGAGAGGAGAGGGGAGGAGAGGAGAGGAGAGGAGAGGGGAGGAGAGGAGAGGGGAGGAGAGGAGAGGGGAGGGGAGGAGAGGAGAGGAGAGGAGAGGGGAGGAGAGGGGAGGAGAGGAGAGGGGAGGAGAGGAGAGGGGAGGAGAGGAGAGGAGAGGAGAGGGGAGGAGAGGAGAGGAGAGGAGAGGAGAGGAGAGGAGAGGAGAGGAGAGGAGAGGAGAGGAGAGGAGAGGAGAGGAGAGGAGAGGAGAGGAGAGGGGAGGAGAGGGGAGGAGAGGAGAGGAGAGGGGAGGAGAGGGGAGGAGAGGGGAGGGGAGGAGAGGAGAGGAGAGGAGAGGAGAGGAGAGGAGAGGAGAGGAGAGGAGAGGAGAGGAGAGGGGAGGAGAGGAGAGGAGAGGAGAGGAGAGGAGAGGAGAGGAGAGGAGAGGAGAGGAGAGGAGAGGAGAGGAGAGGGCTCCTGTCAGACCCAGCCCTGCCAAGCTGATCCCTCGCAGGGCTCCCTGGGCACTCACTGATCTCTGTGCCAGGCACACCTGGGTGTCTGACAGACTTTTCCCAGAGCTGGCACTTTCTCCAGGCTGTAAATCATTACAAAGGCAGGGACTGTGCTTTGTGCTTGCAGAACTCCCACATCCAGAGCTGCAGACAAACCAAAGGCACGACATGAAGAGTAAGAAAAAACAAACATCAAGCACTACTTCCTCTGTTCCGGCTTTTTGGGTTGTTTTTAGAAATAGCTTGTTTGCTCTTGGTTAAGGAAAGATTTCTTACCACAGCTGTCTACAGGGCAAGGGCAAATTGCTTCAGGTTTGGAATGAGGATTTTTCACTTAGGAGAGTGCATTTGGAGACAAGGGAGATTATGAACAATCCTTTAACAAGATCTCAAGCCATCAGGCTGTTTAACATTATTGATCAGCGCAGGCAGAGCACATTTTTTTAAAAATCCATCAGATTAGAATGGAAATAGATTTCTGGTTGTGGCTGCTCACAGGTTTCATTTCCTTGGCAGCAGAGCTGCCCTGCAGGAGGAGCAGCCCCAGGTCAGAGGGGTGACCCTGCCCTGCCACCCTGCCAGCCCAGCACGTGTGGGGATGCTGCAGTGCCAACAAAAATGGGATATCTCAATAAAAACCACATCACACCAGAAGGGACATCTCCCAACAAACAGCTCATGGCCGCAGCAAACCATTCAACAGGGAGGAACATCACCTGGGTGTTATTTAAACACTCCTCTTCTTGAACACCACTGTTCTCAGAATAGATCCAGATCTCACCCACGTTACTCACCCAGACAACAAAGCTCTCATCTCCAAAGGGATCACAGTTCTCAGGATTTGTTTGCAAAATAAATAAAAAGAAGCACTTTGCTTTCAAATTAGTGCCCCAGAAGTTGACAGCAACAGTAGTACACAATAGAAATTATTTGTATTAATAGCTGTGCTTATTCTAGTGATGTTGGCACTCTCTGTGAAGATTAATTGGCAATAATGTTGCAGAAACTATTGCATGAGAAATATGCACCATAAACCTAAAATAATTTGACTGACCTAAGTTCTAAAGTAAAATATTTACAGTAATGAGATTCTAGTTATCCTTTGTTATGGCAGCCATTCTCCCCACTCCTCTTTGTTGATAGGAGATGTATTGTTTCAGCATTTTAGCCCCATTTATTTTCTCACATTTGCATTTCACATGCACAGAGAATGAGAGGCGATCATTACCTTCTTCACTTTGCATTCAATTTACATCAACAGCACATTACCTCATCCTAACTCATTTATCAAGCACAGAAATTTGATAACAAAAGCTACTGTCAGTGATGAATAAGGATCATTTCAAATGGAGCAAGAAGAAACAAGACGAATTATAGGTTTCAGGACTTTTTGTTTGCTCAAGAAAAGGAAGATAAAGGATTTTTTCCCACCTAGACAAGAGGGATCTCACGAGGCTGCAACTCATATTCAGCATCTCCTCTTCACCTGCTGGGTGTGTGCTGCACACAGGGGCAACCCCAAATCCAAGAGCCACAAATGTCTGCGTCCTGTGCCTCACAAAGGAATGGTCTTCATTTTCTGGACTGAGAGCGTAGAATTTGTGGGTCATAAGCTCGAGGAGAAGCTTTAGCAGCCACCCAGGGCTGCTGTGGCCTCAGAGCAGTGAGTGGTGCTGCAGCTTGGAGAGAGCAGCACGTCCAGAGGGCACAGCCCTGTCCCTGTTCCTGTCCTGTCCCTGTCCCATCCCTGCCAGTCTGTGATGCCCCGTGCCAGGAGCCCAGCCTGCCCGGGGCTGGCAGAGCAGAGCTGCTGTGCTGGGCACAGGGATATGTGGCCACCCTAACCCTGGGGCTGTCCCTGTCCCATCCCTATCCCATCCCTGCCAGTCTGTGATGCCCCGTGCCAGGAGCCCAGCCTGCCCGGGGCTGGCAGAGCAGAGCTGCCCGTGCTGGGCAGGGGCCGTGTGGCCACCTTAACCCCGGGGCTGCCCAGAGCAGTGAACAAACAAGTGCTGCCCTTTGAACCATTGCCTGAGCTCAGCCCTGCGCGCTGTCAGAGCCCGGCCGGGGGAGAAGATGGCAAAGGGCCCCCTCACACTGTGCCTGTGTCTGCTGGGAGCCTGCCTGGCTGCTGGAAACTCAGGTGAGTGCACCCCAAACAGCAAACCCCGCACCTTGGGGCACGGGTGGCACAGACTCGGGCTGGGCACGGTTTGTCACCTGGACGCAGGGTGACAGCTCGGGCAGTGCTGGAGAGCAGCTCAGAGGCGCTGCTGCACTGCTCTGCTCCTCTCAAAGCTCTGCTCTTTGCTGGGGCAATGAAATAATGGCTTTGTGCTGATTTTATACAGCATGTGTCACAGGGATTCATTTTCAGAATGGATTTTTTCCTTAGGTTTTTGCATATTTTGGCTTTCAGAGCTCCATTCAGCCATCTTAGGAGGCACACACAGAAGGGGAAAGGGGAGAGCGCTGCTGGGGGAGTGACAGTCCCACCTCTTTGTGTGCCATCACTTTGTCCCGGAGAGCAAACAAGTGCTCACATCCATAAAACTCTCCTTGGATTTGCCACTGCAGGGTTGTTTAAAGGCAAGCCCAGCGTGGCTTTAATAAAGGCTGTGGGATGCAGCCAGGGCTGGGACAGGAGAGAGCAGCTGATGGATGTGGGCAATCACACACAGTAATGCAGGATTTTGATTTATCTGCAGCAGCAACACTTCCAGCAGAGGCTGTTCCACATCCAGTGTGAGCCCTGTTTCCTGCAAGGCTGCCCTTTCTTCTTTCATTAAACATTGCTGGAAACAGGTTAAAAAAGGCTCTTTCCAAAATGTTTGCTCAGCAGTGAAAAGTGAGCAGAACCTCATATTTTTCCACCCCTCACCAGGTGTACCCCCTGTGAAATACAGCACGGGCGTGCCCTGCCAGCACGTGCCTAGAGCCCCGTGTCCCTGTCTCAGGGGTGGTTCAGAAGCTGGTAGATGGCGTGTGAGTTATTCTCAGGGTGAGGAGGTTCCCAGCCCCAGGGGCCATTCCTGTCACCCCACAGAGTGACCCTGCAGCCTTCAGCCCCAGTCAAGTATTGCCTGTAAAAGCAGCAGGTGGGACCCAGTGAGGAGGGTGGGCACCAACACCTCTGAGGAGGGGGCCCAGGGGTGAGGAAGGCTGCCGGAGATGCTGGCACCCAGGGCTGTGGGCAGGGATGAGGAGGAGGAAAGGAGGAATTGCCCCTGATCCCAAGGGCCAGGGCCCTGCAGGGGCCAATGGCCAGCACGGGCACACAGGGCAGGACAGTTTCTGTGGCCAAACAACAGCTCACCATCAGCAGCAGGAAAAGCCCATTATTTACCCCTCTCAAACAGCTTATTCCAGTCTGTGCATCTGTGATGGGAGACTCTCACACCATCTGCTTTGGGGTACTTTAAGCATCAAACTTCAGCCCTCCCCATCACCCTCTTGCCATCAGCCATTTCTATTGACTATTTTGACATTTGGCTCTGCAGATTTGATCCTTTGGATCAAAGGGGCTGAGGTGGGGCAATAAAGAAAGCTCAGTCCAGAAATGTCAGTGGCAGTGTGGGCCTGTCTCTGGCCATGGGCAATGGGGGTTGCACACCTGGAGAGGGCTCATTCTCTGGAAGGACAGAGCCCTGCCAGCCCGTCCAGCCCAGCCCTGCCCTGTGCCCTGCAGTGTTCCTGGGCAGCAGGGAGGCCAGCTCGGTGCTGCAGAGGGGCAATAAAGAAAGCTTAGTTCACAGTGACAGTGTGGGCCTGTCTCTGGCCATGGGCAGTGGGGGCACACCTGGAAAGGGAGCACAGAGCCCTGTCCAGCCCTGCCCTGTGCCCTGCAGTGTTCCTGGGCAGCAGGGAGGCCAGCTCGGTGCTGCAGAGGCAGCGCAGAGCCAACTCCAACCGGCTGGAGGAGGTGATCCCTGGCAACCTGGAGAGGGAGTGCATCGAGGAGAAGTGCAGCTATGAGGAGGCCCGGGAGGTGTTTGAGAACGAAGAGAAAACGGTGAGTGCCATGATGCTCTAGCCTGAGCCTAACCTAACCCTAACCCTAATCCTAAACCCTAATCTTAACCCTGTTCCCTCCAGCTGGGGCACAGAGGGGCAGGAGGGGGAACAGCCAGGAGCAAACCTGCAGGGCCCAGGGCAGCCTCAGGCATGGCAGGTTCTCCCCTGTGCTCCATCCCCTGGGCTGGGGAGCTGCTGTAAAGGCCCCATCAGCCACCACTGGGATATGGAGCTGGTGGTTTCCCTGCAAGTCCTTCCCTTCAGCTTTGGAGCCATCCAGGTACTGCCTCAGTCACACAACACCCAGAAATTGGAAAACAAAGGAAACTTTTTCTTTTTTCCCTTTGCAGATGCAGTTTTGGCAAACATACGTTGGTAAGAGCTGCTTTCTTCGTGTTCTAATGTTTAATATTCCTGTCTGAGTGCATAAAGACCTGGTGTGTCTGTAACAAATGTATTCCAGCATCCAGGAACTGTGAGGGCAGAGCCATCAGAGCCTGGCACTCCAAGTCCTGCAGTGCCCAGCCTGGGTCTGTCCCGTTGGTACAGAAATGGCAAGCCAAACAAAAAAGGATGCCTTAGCATTTTATTTGTTCAAGCGGGGTTTTTCTAACAAATTTGAAAACCTCACTGAACAAAACCAGTTCAGGCAGAGTGCTGGATCTCATTGAGCCCAGGTCAGGCTCTGGCTCCAGTTTCAGCTGTGCCACAGAGTAAAATACCACAGCAATAATTAACACCCCTTCAGCAAACAGCAAATGCTCCGTTCCCAAGCAGAGATCTCCAGATAAGGCACAGCCCTGTGAAGGCACAGCGTGAATCCCTAGAAATGCCATATTAAAGTGGAGCCTCAACATGATCATAGCAAACAGCTGTTTGCAATTCACACCCTCACTTCACTGCTTTCTCTCCACATCCACTTCTTCCTTTTGAGCCTCCATCCCCAACGACTCCTTGGTCCCTTAACAAAAAGATTTCAATGCCCACTACACCATCTGAAACTAATTTTGAGGACGTTTCAATAAATGAACTGTTTGGCAGATTGGCAGAGTGCCCAGAACATCTCACTAAAAAGCCTTAAATAATTCAGATTACTCAGTCCAGACTATAAAATAAAAACATTACATTTGCATTGCAGGACTGTGCTCTGAAAAAACAACTGATGAAACTCCACACTGCATTTGTTTCCCTGCCACTGTAACAAATTGGCTCATCAGAAATAAGGAATGCCATCTATTCCTCTGTCATCCGGGGTGCCTGCTCTGCTGTTCAGAGTGCAGCCCTCAGGAGCTCAGCCCTGCACAGCCCCAGCTGCAGTGCTCACCCTGTCTCAGAGCCCCAGCAGGACTCAGACAGGCCCAAAGCATTTTGTTCTGTTTGCATTTTGCATTCCAGCCCTTTCCTGTTAGCCCCGTGGGCTGCCACCCTGTCCTGCCCCTTCTCAGGGCACAAACCCAGCTCGGCCCTGCCCTTTCTCCATGCCTTGGCACAAACATTCAAAGGGCATCCCCATGGTTTAACATCCCTGATTTGCTTCTCCAAGGCTGTACATGCCCAACTTTGCAATATGAATGTTTTCATTGAAGCCTCACATTCTCTGCTGGAGCTGTGAAAATAAAGCCCTGGCACACGGGGAGAAATCTAGAGCAGGTAACAGTGCAGGACTGAGAAAGGGAGAGCAACAGGGAGGTTCTCAATCCTGGCACCAGACAGGTCCCACATCCCCATGGACAGACCCAAACTGTCACAGAGCAGCCTGAGTGTTCAAACAACCAGAATAGGATACTCAAAGCACTCGTGAAGGAGCAAACCTCCTACATTTGTCTCGTTTGGCCAAGCCATGGGGTCCTGCTGGGATGCTACAGGAGGGTGACTGCAGAGGGGCAGGGTGACCCACAGGGGACAGGGGACACAGCCCTGCCGTGCTGCCCTGGTGCTGCACTCCCAGCTGCCAGGCCCTGGCTGTCCCCTGCCCAGGGAGGAGCTGTGCTGGCCCTGGCAGGGCTCTGGTGGCTGTCAGCCCGTGGGTGGGGGTCACCCTGTGGTGGGGGTCACCCTGTGGTTGCTGACTCTGCCGTGCTCTCTCCAAGATGGGGATCAGTGCAACCCCAACCCGTGCAAAAACGGAGCCGAGTGCAAGGACCAGATCAACTCCTACGTGTGCTGGTGCCCAGCTGGCTACGAAGGCAAGAACTGTGAGATAGGTACGTGCCAGGGCTGCCCCAGGGCCCTGCTGCTCTGCTGGAGCCCCTGGGATCAGCGTCACCCTCTGGGGCTGGTGACACCCACCCTGCTGTGCTGGGAGCCAGGGAGGGGGAAGTGCAGCCTGCTGGGCCTGGGATGGCAGGGGGACGTGGCAGGGGACAGCCTGGGGACAGCAGGCCCTGGGGATGCCAGGGGGACAGCCTGGGGACAGCAGGGCACAGGGGTGGCATAGGGACATGGCTGGGGACATGGCTGGGGACATGGCAGGGGGACATGGCAGGGGGACATGGCAGGGCACTGGGGATGGCAGGCACTGGGGATGGCAGGGGGACATGGCAGGGGGACATGGCAGGGCACTGGGGATGGCAGGCACTGGGGATGGCAGGGGGACATGCCTGGGGACAGCAGGACATTGGGGACAGCCTGGGGACATCAGGGGCTGTCTCTGGCCCTGCCCAGCCCCAGAGCAGCCCCAGCTCCCCCGTGCTGGACACCTGCTCCTGGGCAGGGCTCAGTGGAGACTCAGGCTCAAGGTCTCCTGTCCTGCTGTGGCTGCCAGGGCAAATGTTGACACAGAGCCCTTCCTTTGTGTCCCCAAAGCGCAAACCTGCCTGGGACTGCTCAGTCAGGGACAGCCTGCTTAGGGCAGAGTTCCCCACAGACCCCATGGAACCCCCACTCTCCACAGACCCCATGGAACCCCCATTCTCCCACAGATCCATGGAGCCCCCATTCTCCCACTCCCCTTCCTCACGCCAGGCCGAGCAGCAGGTGCTGGGCAGGGCAGGACTGTCCTGACTTCCCCTCAATGGCACTCTGCTTAATTCATAATTACAATTATCAGCAGCAACCTTGATTCTGGAGGCAAATAAAAGGCAAATATTTTCCTGATGGGTTGAGGAGTCTGTGAAAACCAAACAGCTGATAATTTAAGCAAGAGGGATATTCAGCTCTTATAATATAATCAGGGGCTGTGCAGCTCACATAATGTGCTAGACTCACTGCACTAATAAAAGATTCTCTTTCTAGTTGTATTTCTGCTCTGGCAAGAGAGGAGTGTACGTTAAAAAGAGCATTTCAAAGTTGCATCAAATTTAAATAGTCTCATTGCAGATTTCTTGGGGAGCAAAAATAGAGCTGGAAGTGAGGCGTGAAGAAGAGCTCTGTAAAAATAGTAAATGATGGCATTAAAATGGCTACAGGAAGGGAGGTGTCCTTGAGGAAGTGGGAGTGGAGTTAATCTGCTGTGAAGTTATTTGAAAACTCCCTGGGAATTGCAAGGGCCTCTGCAGGTTTGGGTTCCCCAGCTCCAAGGGGCTGCTGCCAGAGGAGTGAGGGCTGGTGCAGGGGATGGAAACCTGGCGGTGCCTCGGGCATTGCTCCAGTCTGTACAGGGTCCTGCTCCAGTCTGTACAGGGTGTTCCAGTCTATCCAGGGTGTTCCAGTCTATACAGGATGTTGCTCCAGTCTATCCAGGGTGTTCTCCCCCACTGCCAAAAGCACAAGAGTGGGGAAATCACATGGCTCGTCACCAAATATTTGCAGGTGTCCTGTAGGGTCAGGTGCCAAATTTCAGCCAGCACGCAGCTGTTGGAGGCTGTGCCAGGGCTCTGGGGGGCTCCGTGAGCTCCTCAACCTGCCCAGTGCCCTGGGAGCAGGGATGGCACTGCCCTGGGACTGCCCTGCGCTGAGAGCAGGGATGGCACTGCCCTGCCCTGCCCTGGGAGCAGGGATGGCACTGCCCTGCGCTGTGAGCCCAAGAGGAATGGCACTGCCCTGCCTCCCCAGCTCCTCACAAACCATCTGCTTTCCACAGTCTGGGTCAGCCACTGGGGGGGAAGTAGGAGTGGAGTTAAAGTTCTCCTTTTCTGAGCCCAGCCCCCTAGTCTGAACAGATCTCTGACCAGCTGGGTTTCAAGAGAGCTGTCACAATTTCATTTTCATTTCTTTCAGACTTCACCTGTGCTATCAAAAATGGAGGCTGCAAGCACTTCTGCAGTCATCAGCCCCCACAGAAGGTTGTGTGCTCCTGTGCCCCTGGCTATAAACTGCATGAAGATGGAAAGTCCTGTGAACCTACAGGTGAGCTTTTAAACTGCTTTTAAGAGGTTTGGGTTCAAGTTTTCAAGGCCTTGTCCTGGATTTAGCGCAGTGCTTGAGGCTGCAGCTTCACAAAGGGCTATAGAATAGCAGGTTCTCCTTGTGCTCCCCAGCTCTACCCTGCCCCTAGACCATGACAATACCTATAAACTCATTGACACATGCAGACCCACCACAGCACAGCAAATTAACTGGGCACGAGCATCTCAGAAGCACATCTGGCAGAGAAGAGATTGAGCAGATAAACATTTTGCCATCTGAAGCCAGTTTACCATTTGATGCTATGACATTTCTAACTGACTGCAGCAGTTTGCACACCCAAGCTCACATGCAGGCACCTGCACAGGGCAGCTCTGTCAGCTGCCCCAGGGAGCAGTGACCTCCTGAAGGGGCTGGCAGCCAGCAATCAGTTTGGGAAGGATCCTTGGCTGGGAATCCTGTGAACAGAGGATCTCATCCTGTGAACAGAGGATCTCCTCCTGTGTTGCCCAACAATGCTGTATCACTTTCACTGGACGAGAAAGGTTTACAGTTAGCAAGAAGATTGTCTTTCAGGTTGGGTGATTGTCCTTCCTGCAAAAGCTTTGTTTTGTTGGCTCTGAAACCTTCCTTTCATAGGCTGAGCCTGCAGGTACCACTTTCCATCACTCAACACTCGTTTGAGTCCTGTCCCTAAAGTGAGCTGTTTAAAAATAAAGGATGAAGTCTCAGTAGGCCACACTCACATCTGATTTTACACTAATGTTTGTTTGCTCAGTGCTTCTGAGAGCTTTTCAGATGAAAGACAATGCCTGGTGCTATTTACTATTTTGACTGCCACCACCAGCAGGAATTCAGCACACGCTGCGTGGGAGAGCAACGGGAAGAGCTCGTGTGAAACGAGCCTGCAGATGAGTTCTCCATTAACAGAGGAAACATTCAACTCTAGGAAGAGTTTATTAATGCTTTCCTCACCTTGGTGCCAAGCAGGATTATCTGTACAATTGGCAGCTGTTATTTCCTGCCCTGTCCCAGCTGGCTGCTCATTGCTCTGGGGTCACTGCTCTGGAAGTGCCCAGCGCAGGATTCCAGGTATGCAGCTCACATCCTGCCAAGGGCAGGCACAGCTGCCCCGGCCCGTCAGGCACAGGTGCTCCACACAAGCCTTTTTCACTTTTGAAGCTGCTCAGATGTCATTTCCAAAGCCCAGAAACAATCAATGCTTTTGCTGTGTTTCCATATCCCTCACACCGGGGCTCCGGGGCACAGGGTGCCCACGCTCAGCCCACAGCCCTGAGCTGGTACCCAAACCCTGCTGAGGTGAGGGTTTCCCTCTCCCTCCCCTCTGGTGGCTCTAGGGTGTGCCACAGCCGCCCCCAGCGCGCCCCAGCCACCCTCAGCGCGTCCCTTCCTCCGGCAGTGCCGTTCCCCTGCGGGAGGATCACGGCTCCCGAGGCCAAGAGGAAGCTGACGCGCTCCATGAACACCTTTGAGCACTGGAACAGCACGGGCGAGGAGCCCGAGGAGGGCCCCGAGGAGGGGCAGGGCCCCCAGGAGGGCCAGGACAACGCCACGGAGAGCAGCAGCACCGCAGCCCCCACGAGGATCACGCCCGTGCTCAGGACGGGCACGCGCGTCGTCGGCGGCTCGGACAGCATGAAGGGAGAGGTGCCCTGGCAGGTACAGCCTTCGCAAACCTTCTGGGAGCCCTTCTGAGCACAGAGCATCCTGCCTTTGAACACCCAGAGCCTGGCTCTGGGGTTAGCCTGCAATAGCCTCAGGCCCAACAGGAGCACAGCTCCTTCCCGCACACACTTCTATGTGGATAGAAACAGCAACAAAACCTGCCTGCATGGGGCTCTCCTCTGGCAAAGAAAGCCACAAGTCACAGTCACAGCAGCTTTACCCAGTGGGGCACAGAGGGTTGAGCTACAGCAGCAGATTGCCCAGTGGTAGTCCATGAATGTGCCAAAAGTAAGCTGGGAGGGAAGGGAGTTTTGCAAGGAGCAATGCAACTCATTTTTTGGCTCCATCAGTTGCAGCACATCACAGAATCACCCAACAGTTTGGGTTGGAAGGAGCCTTAAAGACCACCCAGTTCCAGCCCCCAGCTGTGAGCAGGGCCACCTTCCACTGCTCCAGGCTTACCCAAACCCCAGAGTGAGATTTGCCCTGCTCCCACAGGTTCTGCTGGTGAACAGCCAAGGCGTGGGCTTCTGCGGCGCCACCATCATCAACGAGAAGTGGCTGGTGACAGCAGCACACTGCCTGAAGCCAGGCTTCACCCACAACCTCACTGCTGTGGCAGGTGAGCCCCTGGGCACGAGGGGAGGGTGGGCACAAGGCAGGGCACAGGGCACTGAGCACAGCGAGGGGCAGCAGCAGGACATGAACTGCTATGGGGCCTGACTCGAGCTGCTGTGGGGTGTGACATGGGCTGCCGGGGGCACAGAGGCCCCAGCTGAGCCTACAGCCCCTCACCAGCCTGGTCCTGCAGGTGCCGGCAGCTCTGGCAGGAGCAGTGAGCCGGGTCTGCCTTGGTGCCACAGCCACAGGGTGAGCACAGATCAGCCTGGCCGTGGGCCAGCTCACCTGAGCCAGGGGCTCATCCAGCCGGCTTTAAAGCCCGCTGGAAGAAGCCTTCCCCTCCCCTATATTTCCTTGCTTCTCCATTTTCACCCCTGAATCACTTATTCGCGTCCCCAGCAATAGCAAGCATCTCTAACGGAAGAAAAGCCAGATGAAAGTCTCCCCCACGTTTGTGCTGTAGCCTGGGAGGGAAGGAGGGAGCTGCCATTCCCACCGTGCCCACCAAGCCCCGCCGAGCCCGCAGCACCCGCTCGCCTCAGGCTGCCTCCGTGCCGGCTCCGCAGGCGGTGCTCGGTGCCGCCGGTTCCGGAGGGCCGGGGGAGAGCCCGGTGGGGCCGGGGGAGCCCCCGCAGCACGGCCCGAACGCCCCGGGGCAAACGCCGTCCTCAATGTCCTCAATGCTGCTCAGCCTGCGGGGGATGCGGCCCCAGGTGCTGCCCCTTCACCCAGCCGAGCTCTGCCCTGCCTCTCGCCACCTGTTACACAAGGCGGGGTAACAGGCTGCAGGCACCGCGATCACGGCGTCCCGCACTGCCATCGCAGCATCCCGCACTGCCATCGCAGCATCCCGCACTGCCATCGCAGCATCCCGCACTGCCATCGCAGCATCCCGCGGCTGCCGGCAGCGGCCGAGAGCAGCTGAGCCTCGGGCGGGCACAGGGGCACCTGTGAGCATCAGCGGTGGCACCGCTGCCTTCCCGCACCCTGTCCTGAACCAGGGGAGGTTCAGGTTTCTTTTCACTAATACCTTATTTATTTTAGACCAGTATTTTTTATCAGTGAGTTCTGCCCCCCTTGCTGCAAGGGTGACATCCCCTTACCTCTCTCTGTGGGTGCTAAATCCCCAGAACAGCCACTTTGCTGGGAACTCTGGCAAAAGCATCTGCATCTTTGCTGCCTGGCTGGATGGTGTGCGCCCAGTGTCACACCTGGGTTGTGCCAGGGGCCTGAGACATGAGGGAACCTGCAGGTGCCTCTGATGAGGAGCCAGCACCTGGCCAGAATATCCTCAGAGGCACCTGAGGGCTCAGCCCTCTGGGCTGGGCTGGAGTGGCACTGGCACTGGTTGGCACCAGCAGGGCACGGTGCTGCCACAGCCCTCTGCAGGCCATGGGCTGGGCTGGAATGGCACTGGCACTGGCTGGCACCAGCAGGGCACAGTCCGTCATGCAGCCCCTGGACTGGCACAGGCTGGCACCAGCAGGGCCTGGTCCCTGGTGCTGCCACAGCCCTCTGCAGGCCATGGGCTGGGCTGGAGTGGCACTGGCACTGGCTGGCACCAGCAGGGCACAGTCCCTGGTGCAGCCCCTGGGCTGAGCTGGGCTGGCACCAGCAGGGCAGAGTCCCTGGTGCAGCCCCTGGACTGACACAGGCTGGCACCAGCAGGGCAGAGTCCCTGGTGCAGCCCCTGGACTGGCACAGGCTGGCACCAGCAGGGCACAGTCCCTGGTGCAGCCCCTGGACTGGCACAGGCTGGCACCAGCAGGGCACAGTCCCTGGCGCTGCCCGGGCACCCAGCCCCCCGCTCTGTGCAGGTGAACACGACGTGAGGAGCGATGATCACACGGAGCAGCTGCGCAAGGTGGTGAGGCTGCTGCCCCACCCCACCTACAACGCCTCCATCAACGAGTACCACAACGACATCGCCCTGCTGGAGCTGGAGCGGCCGCTCACCCTCAACAGCTACGTGACGCCCGTGTGCCTGGGCAGCCGCGAGTTCACCAACGCGCTCCTGAAGCAGGGCGTGGGCACCGTCAGCGGCTGGGGCAGGGTGCTGTTCCGCGGCCGCACGGCCACCACCCTGCAGGTGCTCAGGGTGCCCTTCGTGGACCGGCCCACCTGCCTGAAGAGCACCTCCACCAGCATCCTGCAGAACATGTTCTGCGCGGGCTTCCCCAGCGGCGGCAGGGACACGTGCGAGGGGGACAGCGGGGGACCCTACACCACCGAGATCGAGGGCACCTGGTTCCTCACGGGCATCACCAGCTGGGGCGAGGAGTGCGCCCTGCCCGGCAAGTACGGCATCTACACCAGGGTCTCCAAGTACGTCAAGTGGATCAAGCAAACCACGAAGCTGCCCTGAGCCCGGGAGGAGCGCTGAGCCTGCTGGGGAGGCTGCACCGCGCTGGAGGATGGACTGGGGACACGCAGAGGGACCGCGGCAATCCCCGTGGCTTTGAGAGACCGTGGCATTTCAGTAAACGTTTCTGGATGAAATAACTTCTGCTCTTGGAAGGCTGAAGTTCAGAGAATGCAATGCAAATGTGGTAATAAGGAAATAAAAAGCCTTTTAATGACCCACGGCTGCACTTTTTAATGCACTGGCACTGCTGGGCAGGTGTTAGTCCCCAAATCCCGAACGCAGGGGTTGGTGGATCAGCAGGGGAATGGATCACACATGTCCCAGGCCAGTGTGGCACCAGCACTGCCCACAGCTGGCACACAGCAGTGTGGGCAAAGGAAGCCCAGCAGGCACTGCTGCTCCAGCAACACCCCAGGAGCCCAGGAGGGAGGTGAACACACACAGCAGTGCAGCCACAGTGCTCCCAAACAGAGGTTTTCACATGGAGGGGAGGCTGGGGACACCCTGACCCTGCTGGGATGGGTGCAGGGGACACTGGGGACACCCTGACCCTGCTGGGATGGAGGCAGGGGACACTGGGGACACCCTGACCCTGCTGGGATGGATACAACAAGGGACACTGGGGACACCCTGACCCTGCTGGGATGGAGGCAGGGGACACTGGGGACACCCTGACCCTGCTGGGATGGAGGCAGGGGACACTGGGGACACCCTGACCCTGCTGGGATGGATACAACAAGGGACACTGGGGACACCCTGACCCTGCTGGGATGGAGGCAGGGGACACTGGGGACACTCTGACCCTGCTGGGATGGGTGCAAGGGACACTGGGGACATCCTGACCCTGCTGGGATGGATACAACAAGGGACACTGGGGACACCCTGACCCTGCTGGGATGGATACAACAAGGGACACTGGGGACACTCTGACCCTGCTGGGATGGGTGCAAGGGACACTGGGGACACCCTGACCCTGCTGGGATGGAGGCAGGGGACACTGGGGACACTCTGACCTGCTGGGATGGATACAAGGGACAATGGAGACACCCTGGGCCAGGGCAGGCTGTCAGCAGCTGCTCTTTCAGACTTCACTATGCTAAGGTGCCTCTCCCACTCATTGCCACTGCATCCAGCAAGAAACTAATTGGATCATCTGCCACTGCTTACCTTAAAATCAAAATGCCTGTAAGAAGGTTTTAAGTTGTTCCAAGGAAATGAAATAAAACCAACACTGTGAGCACTTTTTTTTTTCCTCTGGAATTATAGCAGATGTGTATTTGAACAGAATAGCATATTCTCAGATGGATTTATTTAACAAGTTTTTAATCTTTAAATATAGATTTAACACATTTTTACAGGTACATATACAATATAGTTCATTTAAACTTGCAGTCAGAGAAAATTCTCTACTGTAATTTATACATATACATGGAGAGCCTAGTTCAACAGCATACTCAGGGGAACATACCATGTGTGCAAAGTTTCAAATGTTAAAAACCTCAGACTGTACATTCAGATTTGCAGAACTTATCAACCTCATAAATTAATAAAAGCTTAGATTTAAAACTATGGAAGACAAAAAAGATTAAAATCATTCAATATGCAATGTGTGCTATGTTTCAGACAAATATTTACATTGTACCTCAAAATGTGCATTGTTAGCACAAGAATTGTAACCACTAGAAAGAGCCCCGACAGTAATTAAGACTTTCCCACCTCACTGGTGCGTTGTGACTGATTTGGAAGCAGAGGAGCAGAGCCTGCAGCGGTTGCACCGTGGCTCCAGGGAAGGACAGGGATGTGCTGGCTCTGGGGCTGCTCAGCTCAGACTCAGCTGGGCCTGGCTCTGAGGGGCTCAGGGCTCACCCAGTCCTGGAGGAGCAGCCACTGGGGGCTGGGAACCCCAGCCATAGCTCAGCAGCTGCTCCACACAACAACAGGCACAAAACAAACCCAGCACGTCCTGACTTAACCTGTGCCTAAGGACCAGCTCACAAATGAAAATCAGATCATAAAGGTCCCCCTTTAGTCCATGGAATAAACATTTCCTTTGGCTGGGGCACAGCAAACTCACTACTGCATGCACACCATTAACCTGCTCTCCACACACTCAGGTGCTCTTTGCACACATCTGCTCAAAAGTTCAAACCACCTGTACCTACCTATGTTCTACAAAAGCAAAACTAGACAAAGAAACACAAAATTAAATTATCAGTCTTCAACAATCTTTTTCCCTTCACAAAAATTCAATAGATACATTATTGTTAAAGATGCTGAAAAAGTCTTATCACAAGAACATCCTTAGTGCAAACATGGACATTTAGCTCGGATTTATGGCACGTGTTCCAAAGGTACATACATTAATGTAAACTTCAACACTTGCTAGATACAGGTTTCAGCCCTGGGACGCTTTGGGACCCTAAGTGATTGGTGACAACCCTGAGGTGTCAGTGTGAGCTGACCCAGACCCCGCTGAGATCAGGGAGGCTGACTGCAGTGGGCTGGAGTCAGACCCTAAGTGCAAAAAGAGGATCTTTAGTGTTATTGCTTCCTCACGTGGAGTCAGCCAGATGATGCTCTTACAGAACATTACATTCACACAGCTGAAGCAGATAGTTAAGAAAAATCCACCCATAAAATCAATTAAGCAGGACATACAGCTTCTTGGTTTGGTTTTTTTTTCTTTTTGGTTTACCAAAACTCAACTCTTGTTTGCAACTTCAACAGTTGTCAGCTAGTATGTAGGCAAAACCTACTTCAACCTGCAGAGGAGATTTCAAGCATCTAAACAAAGTGTCAGGAAACTGTAGTGTACTTCTCTGATGAAACATGATGTATGTCATGGAAAAACAGCAGGAAAATGAATAAAATACCATCATTTCCACAGGCAAACAAAACCAAAGAGCAGAGAATGGCTTCCTTTATGAGCATGAGAAGCTGCTTAGGACCCCGGTCCCACTCAGCGCAGATGAGGCTGTGGAGGTCTGTGAATGTGATGAACGGGACAGGACAGCTCCAACTACTGTGCTATTTCTCTGTAACACTGAGCTGAAAGCTTCCCAAGAGCATCGAAAATGGGATGCTGCTAGTTCACCCTCAGGTCAAGGGGAACTAAACTTCCTGGTGTTACACAGGGCAGCATCTATAAAGTAATGGAGAATGGAGTTAATATTAAAGCATCTGATTCCAAGAAAGACATTGTTCCCTGTAATCATGTAGCATTTGTATAACAGAAAAAACCAAATGCATTTCTCCCTAAAAGCTGAACTCCCACTGGCTTCAGTGAGAGCCTTGACTAAGGCAGGACCACAGGGTTTGACTCATTTCCATCACCTATCACTTCATTATCACAGCAAGGCCAGCTGAAATCTTCTCTGGGCTTTGTGCTGTCAGGCTGGAGATGGTTTCAGGGTTACTAAAGAGCTGCAGGGCGTAGGAGAGACCCTGCTTTATGCTACAAAGGCTAAAAAGAAATCAGCATTGCCTCTAAGGGACCCTGTGTGGACACAAGAGCCTGTGGCTGCAGTCACTGAAGGGAGTGAGGGGCAGGGAAGGAGCTGTGCTGCAGCTGCCAGCTGTGGTGGCACTGCAGCCAGAGCGTGGGCACAGCTGGCACCTTCCTGCCAACATGGCACAGCAGCTAGAGCATGGGCACAGCTGGCACCTTCCAGCCAACATGGCACTGCAGCCAGAGCATGGGCACAGCTGGCACCTTCCAGCCAACATGGCACTGCAGCCTGCCAAAGCTGGAGCCACAGGCAGGAATAGCCTGGCCAGGCAGGTCCAGGGTGGCCAGGGGCACAGAGAATCCCCAGGGATTGGCCAGGGGGCACAGCACAATCCCAGTGCCCTGTCCAAGGGGCACAGGACATGCAAGCTCAGTCCTTCAGGCACTGCCAGCTGGGGAAACCTCTGCTCAGCTTTATGGCATGGAGAGCAGGCACAGGGGACCCCCCCGAGGCTTGGGGGAGAGGATTTGGCAGGCAGGATGTTAAATAAACTAGGAGAGGGTCTGGCACGTGGAACAGGAGCCTGTGCCCTGGAAGGAAGAGAGTTCAAAGGGAACCTGGTTCCAAGCCCTGCAGTGTGCTGGGAGGTGAGACCTTCCTCCTCCTCACTGGCACAGACCTGCCCGTGCTGCCCACTGTGACCCTGGCACACCAAGGGACATGCAGAAATGCTTTGTCTCCTGCTCCAGGGCAGAAGGGAGTTGGGACTGTAATGCTGGAGCCCCGACCTTCCCTGACATGAGGAGATCATCCTGCATCCCATGTTAATTCATGGAAAAGCCAAGCCAGTTAACCAGGCAGTGCCAGTTAACCAGGCAGTGCCTGACCACCTGCAAGGCAGCTGAAACCCCCAACACATGGCTGAGCCTCAGCAGCAGTACATTCTGAGCATTGCTCTTTCTGGGCACAGCTCTCTCCAAATATTCTTCATTTAGAGCTCTGCATGTTACCACCTGCAATACAAACTGCTCCTTCATCATGCACATTAAAAAATCCACCGTGGGTTTGCAGAGCAGAGAGAATAAATCTGTCTGGAAGGAAGCAGCAAGGACTAATCTCAGAACTTACAGCTAGAGGCACAGCAGAAGGAAAACTCATTTCCAAAATGCTCTCCAAGCCAGCCACCTTCCTCCCAGGGAACTCATGGCTCATGTCCAGGCCAAGATTTACAGGAGGACCGTGGATTTGCAAAGCTGGGGAGTGAAGCATTGACCAAATACCCCTCTGCTCACTTAAAATGGACAGCAAAGAGCTCCCTGGAACTTCATGATGATCTGCATTGGCTCAACACTGGAATCGTTAGCAGGAGGGGAGAGGAACAGCCTGTGGGCATGCAGGTATCAGCCATCCTGTGGTGGGCCACAGGACAAATCCAAGGAGAAATGTGAAGGTAAGGGAACCATTTATTCTATTCAGCTCAAGGCTTTGCCCTGACAAAAGTCCCAAACCCCAGATTTGTGTGAATTCTGCTGTGAAATTCTGTGACTGGAC